TAATGACGATTTTACTCGTTATTAACATTTATAATTTTAAATAAAACCCATCCCTACTGTTAAAATTAAGCCTTTTGCTATTTTATAATTATTAAAATATAAAATTTTTAATAATCAAATAGCATAACAAATGGCACCACCAAATGTTGCCAGGGAATGTAACAAACATGTCGCTAAATTTTTATATTTAAATGTCCATAATGATCTTAAACGGAAAAGTGTTATTTCCTTTAGTGAATAATAACGAGGGGAAAATGTAGTTGTTCCTTTCTATTTTAGGAAAAAATTTTCTGTATATTTAGGAAAAAATTCTGTCTATTTAGGAAAAATTTTCTGTCTATTTAGGAAAAAATTTTCGGAGATTTAAATTAATTTGTTTTTTCATGTATCAGCCAGATATGTAGGTCAAGATAATTTGCTTGTATGTGCGAAAGACAGGTTTAAACACTTCTTTAGATTACTTTCATGTTTTCGTGTATTCATAACTTTGGATTTTATTAGTGTATGTCCTTCGTGGTAGCATCTAGTAACTTTTTCTTTTAGCAGATAAGGGACGTAACAAAGAACAGTAGTAAAGAGTTACAGCAGCGCACTGATTGATTGGCACGCAAACATAACATATTTACAAAACTCTTTACACTTGCAATGGGATAACCGACAAAGTTCCTTATCACAAGACAATAAACAATATGTATAAACAGAATAGATGCCCATGTTACAGAAGTGACATAAGCGAGGGACGCTCACGAAGTAAATAGACAAAACATTGTGACTAGCAATGGGAGACCGACAAGACCATTAACACAAGGCATAGCATAAAACAATGCCGGGGGGACACACCACCCATACGAATGTTACAAATAAAAGAAGAATAATAACAATAACAATTTGACCAAAAAAGCGGTACGTGAACATTGCAACTTACAATGGGGACCGAAAATCTTTTTAGTAGCTAAAGATATTGAAAGCCTGATTTGAATGCGGAAAGGCGGAAAGAGGCACCATTGAAGACGTAGGTTTAGCCTGTGGAGATGTGGATCGCGTTGAGTGCTTTGTGGAACAGCATTAAAGACACTATGTATGTATATTTAGTCTGTCGAGGTGAAATCCTCATTTAGTGCTTTTGTAGAGCATTTTTGAAGGCACTAAGAATGTATGTTTAGTTTCTGGGAATGAAAGTATCGTTGAGTGCTCTTGTGGAATCGATGAAAGCGTTTAGTTCTGTATATAAGTCTTTATTGTTGATGAAGGCACTCAAAGGACAAGGTCAGCTCCATCTTGAGGAAAAATTCTTTTGTAAAAGTGGAACCCTATGAATATCAAAAGTAGCACAGTCAAATATAAAATGATAAACATCTTGCGGGGTTTGTTCGTCATATTTACAGTACTTACTGTCTCGAAAATGGAACCTATGGAGATAATTCTGTAGGTTTCCGTGGTGCATGAGGAGTTCAAAAAGTGAAATGGTTGATTTTCAGGTGTTTCCATTTAAGTCTTTCCAGGATGTTTGGTATAAAGGAAAAAGTTAGACTCCCTGTTTATTCTTATTCCCATTCTTACTGCCAAAAAGCAATAACCGTTTTGTGTAAAAGATTTTGCAGAGTGGTGTCAGCTACTCCATTAAAGCTAACTGGAATTTCAGAATGCAGCTTACTTTGCAAGGTTATCGGCTTCCTCGTTTCCTTTTAGTCTGTTATGTCCTTTTTTCCAGGTTAGTACGTAATGATTATTATTGTTATCATTTATATCTTGATTAATAATTTTTGACTGGAAACAGTTTTGATTATGAATTCTTTTTAAGGCAGTTTGACTATCGGATAATATACAGATATGTTGACTGTTGATGTTGTAATTTTTGATGTATTTAATTAATTGCTTGGTTAATGGCTAGTATTTCAGTTTGCGTGATAGTACAACAATGGCCTGCCGTCCAGGGAAAATGTGAAAGCTCCGCTTCCTTTGTATTTTCTAAAATATAAATACATGTTGTGCGATTATTTTCATATTTTAACGTACTTTGAATTAATTAAAATTCATGTTTTATTATAACCGCATTATGCATCTTATTATAAATTTTTAATACTGTATGCGAGAAAACAATGAGAAGATTTGAATTGTATATTCGAACATAAATTCGTATGTGCGTATTTACGATGGAAGCGCCTGTATTGTCGAATACGGAACAGATTCCGCAACGAAAACGTTTGAGTCGTAAAGCAGCCAATTTATACGCATTTGCGCAAGCACTTTATAGAGAACAAATCTCGGGCAGTTCATCTGGTGGATGCTAAACATCAAAATATCGTGTAACTCTTCCAATGATTCCATTCATTAGCCACTTGTAGGCAGCCATTCGACTAAGAGGATTGTTTTAAGATTTAAAAATAAAAAAGAATTTATGTTAGTTTTTGTACGTTTTTTACGAAGGCAGTAAAAAATCAGGTGTTGCGCATAATTGTTGGCTATGCACAGATCGACCTGGCTAACACCGCGATCTGTAAAGAATGTGGGTAATGGGCAAGTGTTGCAGGAGAACAAGTTATTTTTTGCTAGAAATTCGGCCATTTCATATTCTCTTGCACAGTCACGAGGATTATGCCAGATATGATTTTTGGTGTTGAAATCACTGCCTAATATCCATTGAGTTTTTCTTATGTTACTTTTGATCCTTTCCAATTTTCTGATAATGTTCTGTAGATTCCCATCTGGTGGACAGTATGTGGAAGATAGGAAGATGTTGTGGGATTATTGAAAATTTTAATTATGGTAACTGAGTTCGAACTGTACTGTGGGAAAAACTGAACGGTTATTTTATCGCGGCAGATGAGAATTCCTGTTTTTATTGGTGAAAATAAAGTTAGAAGGATTAAAAAACTCTCAATTTTCGGAATCGGACAATACTATGATTGATGACATATGGTACTTGAATTAAAATAATGTCAGTTTTGCCAATTAGTAAGTTTCTGTAGAATTGATGATGCAGCTTTGCTGAATTACAACTGAATTGCTCATCTGAACATTCAGTTGTAAGATATTTATGGAACGAGTGCACGATTAAATAGGTTTATCCGGCAGGTTTGAGTTAACAGACTGGTTGGAAATATGATGATGTTTAGACTGACATAATTTGTTTGTTCGATTGTTTGGCTTTTCATCCGCTGAGTAATACTATATGTTTGATTGAAAGCGTTGTGTCCAGATGGTACCTGCTTGATTGTGGGTTGCTGCTTGTTATATTCGTGACAGTTAGTGCATATAGGCGATTTGTGTTGTCTTTCGCAGCGTCTGTAGCTATGTTGTATAGAACAGTTGCTGCACTTTACGTGTTTAGTGCCTTCATGAGCATAATGTTCACACCGCAACACTTGAAACATCTAGTGAGCAGAATGAAGTCATCCACCTTAACGTTTTACCACTTTAAGGAAAGGTGTTTTCTTCTTTCTGCTATGTTTCCTATGTTGGCTGAAACTGTTAGTATTGCGTTGTTGCAGTTTTTTTATTCCCCTTTCTGAATTATTGTGGAGACTTTACAATCGTCCATTAATTATTTTCTATCAATGGATCCCCATATATTGTTTTGGTTGTATAGGGTCCTCTGAAATGTCTTCCTGTTTAATGAAGTTTGGGGAATTGAGGTTAATAATGCGCGGTTTTTTACCCTCCGATACAGTACATCTCATTTTTCCTATTAATTCTAAGATATATTGTATAGCTTTGGAAAGGTATCCCCATCTGTCCCGTCTCCTATACGTACACACATCTCATTTACTTTAACTGCGCGTATAGATTTCACATTAATTTTCAATGTTTGTGGTTCTATCTTCTGAAAGATTGTAATAATCATTTCTTTCCTGTATCGTTCTTGATAATGGAAAAATTAAATAAATTCGAAGAAGAATTCCTATTGTAAAAATAAAAAATATCCCAAAGTGTATCGAATCACTACAACTTCTTTCGAATAATATTGAAATCCGAAAATTGTAAATAAATGTCGATAATTACCCGAAGAGTTAAATTAATAAAACAGAATATTTCGAATGAATTTGTCAAAAAATTTTACAAGTATAATAATTTTGCTATTTGCATAACATGTAATAAACAATGATAAAACTATTTGTCTAACCAATTTTTTAAAAATTAATTTAACTAATGTACTTATTATTTTCTGGGTAAACTGAAACTGAGCTCAGCAGCATTTTACTGTTTCGATCTGACAAGAAAACACAGATCTGGTAACATGTTTGTAACCTTCTGTCTAAAGCAGTTTTAAACTCTTAAATATCCAATGTGTTAACTAATAAAACTTCATAAATTGTTTAAACCAGTCAATGTGCAGTTAGCGGCCTATATGTAGATTCAGGAACTGAGTAAGACACACACATGTTCAACAGCAGAACACACGTGTGCGTATTAAAAAATTTATTTTGTCGTAATGTCATGCATGTTACATGCCTGTCGTATAATATAATAGGTGTACTTAAATAATTATGTATTCAAAAAATTTTTTGTAGAAATTTACTATTACTCTATTACTTTCCACTATTTGATACTATCCTGCATGCTATTTTGTGCATTAATTACAATTTTACGACTGAAACATAGATGCCTTTGTCAAGGGCGTACCCAGCGAGAGGTCAATTACTAAACTTTAATTGTTCTTGTACAGAGGGGCAGTTGCCGCTCCCTACAACAAGTATTAAAGTGTAGTAATTGGCACACAGACAAACGGCACAGACCTATCAATTCAGTATAAGTTTGAATAATTGCTATTGTTAGTAAACTAGAGCCTAGGGCCATTTGTCGTGAAATCTTTAAATTATTTCGCTGTTCGCTGCTATTCTTGAATTCAAAGAAACTGAGTTGTCCGCCTCTAGTTCAGATCATGGGTACGCTACTGGCCTCTCTCATTCTACACAAATAGATTCTATAGGTAAATGTCTCTTCAATCCGAACAAAATTTCGGTAGACTTTCTCACAGCTCTACAGTTTAAAAATCTCCTTTATTGTTTTTCACATATGCATTTCGGGCAAGTTTAATTTTCCTGCCCCTCTTCAGTGCTACAAAACAAATTCATATTGAATTTACACAAAACAACTTTATAGTAGAAAATGCTTACAAGACATAAAAAGACACTTTATAATACCTTAAGATTTCCCTCATGTTCTTTCATCTTTTTTACAGTACTTGTACTATCAATTTACAATGTTTTCAAATTTATAATTTTCTCTTAAGGGTGTTTTACATCGAAATCCGTACCATTATGCTACACAACTAATTACAAATTATAATTATTAGTAACATTTTAAATCACTTATTTATAACAAATTTTTTCCTTTAAAAAAATATTTACTAAAAAAAATACATACATGTTTTTCTTTAAAAGTGTCACAACAATAACAGAGTAGTATACGTTGTATAAACTTTAAAAAGGTTCAACATACAATAAAATTTTCATTTACACGACAATGTATAATCTTAGAAATATAAACTATTGACTTGTTGCGCCCCCTATCATGTTATACCATTGCTGGTCGATTTGCATGCCATTGGAAATGTTTATTAAATTATTACCACTGTATTTCATTATTTCTATATGTTCTTTGAATTTACGTTTATATATATTTTTCTCACAGTGTAGGATTTTAATATTATTTCTATCTATTTTGCAGTTACTATTTTTGATGTGGTTATACCAAGGTGAATTATCATGTTTTAACCGTATGGCAGCTTCATGTTCTTTTATCCGTAATTCCAAAGTTCGACCCGTTTCACCTATGTATTCTTTAGGATTTTGACAGTTGCAATTAATTTTGTAAACAGTTCCAGTTTTTTTCAATTTATCAGTATTGGTTTTGTATTTTCCTAATTTATTTGAGATTTTATTTGAAATTTTATTGGTCAAAGATGGGGCCAAAATTATATTGTCTTTTTTAAGGCATTTAGAGCTATTATTATAAATATCAGCTATGTAAGGGAAGGGTTTGTAATTTTTATCTTTCTTATTTTTTGTTATAAATCTATTATTGTAGTATTGTGTATGCCAGTTTTTTAAAAGGATTTTTGGATAACTATTAAGAATAAATTTATCATCTAATTCGTTTAATTCAGTTTTGCGTTTCTTTTTACTGGTAGTTCTAGTATATATCTTTTTTAATTCCATTATATATGTATTCTTTTTTATACTTTCTGGGATATATGAATAGTAACTGATTGTTTTGTTTACATTGGATGGTTTTTTATAAGTTTCAAATGAATATTTTTCTTTTTCTTTTGTTATAGTTATGTCCAAAAAATGAATTTTATTGTGTTTTTCTAATTCTATGTCAAATTTTATATCCTCGTTTATGCTATTTATTGTATTTAAAATTATTTTGTCATTTGTTATTTTATTATTAAAAATTAATAAGTAATCATCCACGTATCTCATTGCAGTTTTTACCCCAGGAATGTTCATGATTTTATTGTCAATATCTTTCATTACTAATTCTGCAAGTTTTGGCCCCATCTTTGACCCCATGCTAACGCCATCTGTTTGTCTGTAAAAATTATTATATACTTCAAAATAATTTCTTTTATATGCAAATTCTATAAGTTCTAGTAATGCTTGATTAATTTTTAATTGTGTAAGGCTGTTTTTTATTAATTCCCATTTTATGTTCGGATACATATTTTTCACATCTAAACTTATCAATGTGTCTGTTTTTTCTTTTTTTATTTTTTGAATTATGTTGATTACGTCATCAGCATTTTTTACACTGTTTTTGGAACCTTCAAAGCTTTTTAATTGTTCTTTGATATATTTCTCTAAATTGTAAAGTACTGTATATCTAAAATCAACTATGGGTCTATATTTTTTTTTTTATTTTTAAATATCTTATGCATTAACGATGGACAAACAAATGTAAATTTTTAAACTACATCAATAGTAACCCCCTGTAACCAGGCTTGACTTAGTACAAATCAATTATATTCATATTATTTGTTATAAAATGTTCTGGAGTAACTTTATTGAAGACTTTACTGCATGATACACAACTGAATTTAGGTAAATTGGAAAGTACTTCGAACAAAAGCGTAATTACGGAAATAACAAAAATTGAGTATTAAATAAACGAAAAAATAATGTCTGCTCATTTTTAATTGTTACATGTGCTTAAACATTTTTTTTTTTTTTTTTTTTGTAAAACATAAGAAGCGTGTTTAAAATTCTAAACGATTACTCGAATGTACTTCAGGTAAGTTTAACGAAACGTTTTGTAAAAATGTTTTTATATTTTCCATAGAATATGAAACAAATATTACAAAGTTTCTACATGAAAATCTTTTTCTGAAACGATATTTTAAAACATTAGAAATCCGTTAAACCCGCACTCTGTAATTCAGAAGCGCTCTAGTCGCGTAGGGGTCAAAATATCGAATTTACCTTGTGTCATAATTATAGCAGTTCATAAATAGCAACAACTACTCGATCGATTACATTAAAAGTTACATATTGCTGCGTTGTACACCCGCATCTCACCTACTTCCTGTTTGATATTTCCAGCCATTCATCTTTTTCGCAAAAGTTTATCTAAAGGAGCAACAAAAATAAACAGATGATGACATGATGTTTTCCTGGATTAGTCACATGTCTAATATATATAATATATATATATATATAACATCTGGAATACTATAATTAAATCGCCAAAGCAAATTCAAAAATTATTGATCTTCGTTAATATATGCCCATTAATAATGGATGAGTATATTAAAAATTTACAACTTCATTCATCAATGGTAGCATCTATATGCACCCAAGAAGTATGGATGCTCTGCTTTCTTGTCATGCTCTTGTACATGGGGCAGTTATCCAGATTATTGTAGGAATAACAAATAATGCGTGAAATATTGTTTGTAATACAATTACGAAAACGATTTTAACGAAAGTGGTGTATACAAATATATTATAATAGGCGACGATTAACAATACTAATCCAGTAGAAATTGCCCCTTGAATTAACGGAAAACCTACGTGACATAAGCTATCCTTTAACTTTTCTTCAGTCGTTGCTTGTGATGAAGTAATAAAAGAATAGCATATGTGAGTGGGATAATTGACACAAAACCCGATGCAGAGAATCAGGCACATCAGAGACACGATATCCAGATTGATAACCCATAAAGACATGAAACCGATCGTCTGCACGGTGATGGACACGACACAGATAGCGACGATAAGAGCGCAATGCAAATTGGGAATTAAAGAAATAAAAATGACAAAGATTAGCAAGGAAGTGATCCAAAACAGTTGAAACGTTATCTGTCTGATGACAATTCCTTGCTCGACTATGGGCGATATTAATGTATGGATTACAACGGAAAATGGCGCTTCTTCGGCTATTTTCGATAAATCGTTTACTATTTTGAATTCCGTTACTCTGTCCGAAACATTTTTCGCTAAAAATAAGAAACGACTGGCTACAATATCAGTGTAATTGTGATTATAAATGATGTCATTGTTAAAATGCTTGGCTCCTGTGAATTTCAAGAAGACGTTTCTAAGAGCATCCATGAAATCTTGCTTCCGAGACAGATCGTAACCCCTTAAAGAATACTTCGAAATGGGATGATTTTGGAATTCCTTATAATATTTTAACCAAGAAAATTCGTACTCATATCCGGCAATATTTTCAATAGTGTGAAATTGTTTCATGAAATCATAAACTGACTCTTGAACTCGTGGATTAGAATAATCTAAAGTTTCCTTAATGACGACGTGCACCGTGAAAGGGTATTCGGTAAAATATCTATAGAAAACATGAAATCCCCGTGTAATTTCGGAGCTTTCTGAATTGAATTTGTACACATTCAGCCCCTCCTGTAAGGACATAACACCCCATATACCAATTGACAATAACATAAAATATGAAAAGATAATAAGAATTCGTGATACAGGATGAAAAATAAAAGCTGAAAATGTATTTCTGAAGAACTTCATAAAACAGTCTTCAGTTTCTTCTTTGTAATAGTCACTTTGTCCAATAGTTTCTGTAAAATTAAAATATTTTGTATAGAGTATTAAGTACATTTGTATGATATTTTATCATAATAGATCATTTTTATGGTACAAAATATCATTAGAACTATAATGAGCAATAACAAATAATTTTAGTAAAATTTTACGAACAAATTAACATTAAGGATGCACCGATAAGCAAAATGGCCGATTACAGATTACCGATTAATCAGCCATGCATTATCGGCCGATACCGATTAATCGGCCGATTAGTGTTAATAATTTATTGCATTAATAGTGTGAGATCCTGGAGTTAATTATACAGTTAATTATAATGTGGAAAAAACCCATTTTTCTCCACCTGGTATTTCCATCTCTTTCGGGTCAGACAAACAAGAGACGATCGAATATCCTCGCAAAATCAACAATCTCTTCCTTTGTTTCTAAAATAAATCTCAACACTTAATTGTTAACGCATGGAAACTTCGACATTGTTTAAAAAGCTGAAGTGTTTCTGTGTTTAACAGAAACAAAATATATTTCTTTAACCGCTGATATTTGGACAGCAACTACAAACAATTCTCCTATTTTAAGTGTAACAGCTCACTGGTTGAAGGATGATTTTCAGCAGGAAAGAGCTGTTTTGCAAATTGTTTTCTTTGAAGGTTTCCACACCGCTACACGAATCAGTAAACAGTTAAAAATTGTCCTTGAACAGTATAAGTTGTCAAGTGATAAGATATTATTAGTACTGTACTAAGAGATTCTGCAGTAAATCTGGCAGCTGAAATTAGGAATTGCAACTTAGAAGCATTATCATACGCTGCAGCTGACACTAAACGAATGCATATTTTCTAAACCAGATGTGAAAAATATAATCACAGTTAATAGAAATATTGTCACACATTCTGCTGTAGCTGTAATCAAATTAGAAGATTTGCAAGGAAAGTTAGGTTTGCAGAAACACAAATTAATTCAAGATGTTCCTACTCGCTGGAATTCTACCTACTACATGTTGGAACAGCAAAAGGCCCTTGTCACATATACTATAGATAATAAAATTTTTACGTTGAGCCCATATCAGTGGTCTCTCGTTGAAAAAATTGTTTTACTTGTAAAACCATTCAAAGAAATTACTGTGGAAAGCCAGCAAACGAGAAGCCACTTCATCTTCAATAATTCCCACAATAGAGACTCTGAAATTATTTTTATCAACAGCAAAGATCAGTAGTTCCTTTAGTGGCATTAATACCACAAAAGAAGAACTACAAAATCCAATAAAAAAAGATTTTCAGCATGTATAAAAAACAAGTCTTTATGCTTGTCTTTTTTATTAGATTCAAAATAAAATTTCAAAAAGAGGATATGCTAGAGGAAATCTCAATAAGAATTAAATTCTGAAGCTTCTACTTCTGGAGGTGATCAAGATGGAGGTGAATTTCTACGTTTTTCTGATTTATTTGATGAATTAGCTTCTGGTAAAAGAAAAAATGAAGAATAGCATGTTTTTAAAAAGAAAGAAAAAAAAAAAAAAACGAAAGAGACGAACAAACGTTTCGATCAATAATTAGAAACATATTTACATTTATCTTTAATTTGAGCAAAATAGCTATGAAATGTTTAAGCGCCTCAGCATTTTCCATTGAAAGTGAAAAAATTTTCAGCATTAAAGGTAACATTTATGAACCAGCAAAAAATAGGTTATGCCCTGATAATGATGAAATTCTCATGTTTTTGCATTGTAAAACCCTTAAATTGTAACTTAAGGGCTTTGCAATGCATTGTATTAATGCATTGTATGTAATGCAATACAATGCATTTAAATTGTAATGCATTACAATGCATTACAATTTAAACATATAAAACAAATAAAAATTTAAGTTTTCTTCTTAACCTATTCAATACTTTTTCTTATGTAAAGTTTAAACTTTATATTATACGTCATATTATACTTATAATATGTATCGATAAAAGGAATAATTTGATTAGTAAATTTTTTTAATATTCAGATTGTCATGTAATAAATAATAAATGTATAACAGAAATGTATTAGTTTTTATTACTAGCATTGTACGTAACATTCTTACAAAAATACCAAAATGTAAAATTGGCCGATTATCGAAACCGATTAATCAGGGGGAATGGCCGATACCGATTAATCGGCTAAGTGGCTGATACGGCCGATTACCGATTACTTACCGATTAATCGGTGCATCCTTAATTAACATTACAGTAATTTTTTTAATAAAACGAATAAATGGGTGAAAGCAATTTATATTACAGCAGATTAACAAACGATTTTAGTATAGATGAAATTTAAGATGAAACTACAGATAAAACATTATTTGAAATGTGGAATAAAAGTAGCCCACATTATTTTTGAGGAAAACAAGCAGTAGAATTCATACACTGTTAAAAACAATAACCATAAACGTTAAGGCGTTAAATATGACATTTATTGGGAAGATTCGTTATATTCAAGTGTGTAAAATCAAGACTTACGAGTATACATTCTTACATATTTGTGATCCCCAAATTTTCAAATTGATGTTAGTAAGTTATTCCAAATAAATATACCTGATAGAAAAAGATGGAGAATCAGATGAAAGGTCACTGGTTGTAAGAACAAGTCAGTGGGAGAGTAGACACTTAGCTGTCAAAAATGCTTCGTCAGCGTCAACTTTAAACTTTTTTTTTAACTTTTTCTGCCCCGTGGGCACTAAGAGGACCTCTTTTTGCAAACGCATTATGGATCCATTATGGGTTCAGCCAGACCCACAATGGCACTGCCAGGTGGTGAGGGACGACAATCGAAAAATTCCTGGGGATTTTTCGACCCGTTCGGATTCGAACAAGGGGTCCCCAGAGTGGTAGGCTGCCATCTAGCCTAACCTATAATAGCCTAGCATAACCGCATTTTAGCCATTTTAAGTCATAGCATAACCTTAGCACTTATATAGCCTCCTGTAATCTAGATTTAGTTAATCAGTAAATGCTTTGCTATTTTGTTTAACTTGTTTCCTGTCTATCAAAGGGCGCCTGTAGACTTGCTTACTCCCTCGCCACTCGATAAAAACCCTTCCGAAACGACAACGTGGGCGGTCGTTGCGGAGTAAGTAGTCAGACGGCATTAACCCTTGGCCCACGGTATCTCACATATTCTGTGCACTATGTAACTTTTAAAAAATAAATTATAGTATTGAAATTAAATTAATGAATTTAAAATAATGAGTAAAATTTAACGCAAATGTTATATAAAACATTAAGCAGAAAAATTGTACGACTGTTCTACACTGGAACAAAAGCCTGTTCGACAATTGACGATTCAAAAACTGATAAACTACCGAATGTTGAAAACAAACGGTAATGATCAAATTGAATTTGATCTCATTCCTATTCTAATTACACATATTATTGACGTAACCTTATATTGCAAACACTTAATAATAATTTTATATCAACTTCTATAATATTTGCGTAAAATTTTTGGTAGGTTTACTCGGTGTAGAACGTCATTCTCCTGCTTAAACATTCACAGTATTGACTACAAACATGTTTTAGTTTATTTGTTGCTTCCGGTTCAAATTTTCGTCATATGAGGTGCAATGAAAAAAGATAACAATTAGCGCTTCAAGTAAATTTACGTGTTTCATACGGAAAATGTTTACACGACGTAAACACTGTTAAGATATTTGTTTAAAGCAACAAACGCAATACCGTTTCACAGCACATAGAATTCAGTTGGGATTAGTTTAGAAACTTCTTGAGATGTTTATTTGAATGCAAAAACGATTCGTCCTGTTGCCTTTATTCTTGGCACAAACGAACATATAAAAACGTAACAATAACATTAAATACATAACGCTTAAATACGTCTCTTTTTATATACAATATACTGTATACTGATAGGTAATATATATAAAAACTATATGGGAGTAAACGTGTTCTGCTTTCACACTTTGCTGTGCTTTTGGTATCTTTAATTACATCTTAAAAACGCGAGATTTATGATGAAAATTGTGAAAAATTGAAGCAAGGAGTTGCTTAAAATGTACGGCAACCTTTGATAATCGGAGTATCACGATCTGTTATGATTTATTGTTTAAAAAAGTTTTTTTATATTTTAAATTATCATAAAGTGTCAATAAGCGTAATCTTCAGGGGAAAGGCAAGGATTATAAAATAATTGTAATTTCTGATAACGAGGAAATTCGACTTTAAGCACGTCCTACTCGACACATGATAAGCAAGTTCCTCTATCTTCTCACCCCCTGGACCTTCAATCAACAAAATTTAATGGCAACATAGCCCTAATAATCGAACCTCAATAATTAAATAATTTTCAATGTTTAAGTTATCACATATAAAAGTTTATAACATAAATTATAATTAAAACACTTAAGAACGAGAACATCAAGACATAATGTTAACTATTTTTATAAATTCGAATCTACAACAAAGTCCCCATTTATTATAATTTGTTTAAGCGATGTCAACTATAATGAACCAAGTGACATGTCTCAATACAGAAAAAAGTGTAAAGAATTTAAGCTATTACTAGAAAACCTACGGAAAAACACCACTACAAGATAATAATCTTAAAATATTTACCAAAAGCTGGTTTAAATGTAAAAGGATGAAGATTCTTCTCTTCCCTGTATCCACTTAATGCCAAACATCCGCCGAAAAATAATAACTGAAAGACATAACTGAAGAAAATGCACGTGGCGGCATATAAACAGAATATTCTTACACCCGGGAATGGTGACGTCATGGCAATGCAATACGAGAAGAAATTCGTTAGAGACGTTATGGTGATGGACACTGCTGCGTTGCGATATGTCTGTTCCATTCGTTTTTCTACTCTGTCGTTGCAATCTGTTACCTTCCAACAAGCCAATACGACAAACGAGTCGTCCACTTCCGTAGCTTTAATATATCAAAACAATAAAAAGATATAAAGAGAAATGTATTAGTATTTGCAAGTATAATATAGTTTAGCTTACCAAAAATCATGAAAGGAAGGGTGACGTTCCACCGAAGATTTTCTACTCCACAGGCGGATAATAATCCAAAAGCGGTGGTCACAGCCAGACCGGCAGATACGACAGTAGCTACGCCTAACCAGGGTTTGGATTTTACCCAATTGTTAGTCATGTTCGTCACCTTGGAGAAAATGGCCACAACGACCACAGCCACGCTTATCAAAGACACTAATTCCTGTGAAATGCGTTGTACTTGATAATCGGTAGACGCGAATGGATCGGGAAATGTTTTAATATGCTCGAAAGTATAATCTCTTAACTTGTTGTAAACTGCCTTTGTCCATTCTTCATTCCACTTGTTTTTACTTGCATTGGATTCTTCAGTCGGATACAGTAAACGAACGGCCTTTGCTTCAATTATGTATCCTTTGTCGTCTGTCGTCACTCCTCCTAAATTTATACAGAAGATTTTGTACGCGTATGTTAGAGGATCCATATTAACGGGATACTTCATTTTTAATATTTCATGAATAGCGTTTTCGGAGTCGTTCAGCAGATCAATGAGAGTATTTTCTGAACACTTGCCATCTACAATTTGGCACACTTCCGAGTAACNGAGTATACATTCTTACATATTTGTGATTCCCCAAATTTTCAAATTGATGTTAGTAAGTTATTCCAAATAAATATACCTGATAGAAAAAAATGGAGAATCAGATGAAAGGTCACTGATTGTAAGAACAAGTCAGTGGGAGAGTAGACACTTAGCTGTCAAAAATGCTTCGTCAGCGTCAACGTTAAACTTTTTTTTTTTTTTTTAACTTTTTCTGCCCCGTGGGCACTAAGAGGACCTCTTTTTGCAAACCCATTATGGGTCCAGCCAGACCCACAATGAGGCTGCCAGGTGGTGAGGGACGACACTCTGGAAAAATTCCTGGGGATTTTTCGACCCGTTCGGATTCGAACAAGGGGTCCCCCAGAGTGGTAGGCTGCCATCTAGCCTAACATATAATAGCCTAGCATAACCGCATTTTAGCCATTTTAAGCCATAGCATAACCTTAGCACTTATATAGCCATCTGTAATCTAGATTTAGTTAATCAGTAAATGCTTTGCTATTTTGTTTAACATGTCTCCTGTGTATCAAAGGACGCCTGTAGACTTGCTTACCTCCCTCGCCACTCGATAAAAAGCCATCCGAAATGACAACGTGGGCGGTCGTTGCGGAGTAAGTAGTCAGATGGCATCTTGGCCCACGGTATCTCACATATTCTGTGCACTATGTAACTTTTAAAAAATAAATTATAGTATTGAAATTAAATTAATGAATTTAAAATAATGAGTAAAATTTAACGCAAATGTTATATAAAACATTAAGCAGAAAAATTGTACGACTGTTCTACACTGGAACAAAAGCCTGTTCGACAATTGACGATTCAAAAACTGATAAACTACCGAATGTTGAAAACAAACGGTAATGATCAAATTGAATTTGATCTCATTCCTATTCTAATTGCACATATTATTGACGTAACCTTATATTGCAAACACTTAATAATAATAATTTTATATCAACTTCTATAGCATTTGCGTAAAATTTTTGGTATGTTTACTCTGTGTAGAACGTCATTCTCCTGCTTAAACATTCACAGTATTGACTACAAACATGTTTTAGTTTATTTGTTGCTTCCGGTTCAAATTTTCGTCATATGAGGTGCAATGAAAAAAGATAACAATTAGCGCTTCAAGTAAATTTACGTGTTTCATACGGAAAATGTTTACACGACGTAAACACTGTTAAGATATTTGTTTAAAGCAACAAACGCAATACCGTTTCACAGCACATAGAATTCAGATGGGATTAGTTTAGAAACTTCTTGAAATGTTTATTTGAATGCAAAAACGATTCGTCCTGTTGCCTTTATTCTTGGCACAAACGAACATATAAAAACGTAACAATAACATTAAATACATAACGCTTAAATACGTCTCTTTTTATATACAATATACTGTATACCGATAGGTAATATATATAAAAACTATATGGGAGTAAACGTGTTCTGCTTTCACACTTTGCTGTGCTTTTGGTATCTTTAATTACATCTTAAAAACGCGAGATTTATGATGAAAATTGTGAAAAATTGAAGCAAGGAGTTGCTTAAAATGTACGGCAACCTTTGATAATCGGAGTATCACGATCTGTTATGATTTATTGTTTAAAAAAGTTTTTTTATATTTTAAATTATCATAAAGTGTCAATAAGCGTAATCTTCAGGGGAAAGGCAAGGATTATAAAATAATTGTAATTTCTGATAACGAGGAAATTCGACTTTAAGCACGTCCTACTCGACACATGATAAGCAAGTTCCTCTATCTTCTCACCCCCTGGACCTTCAATCAACAAAATTTAATGGCAACATAGCCCTAATAATCGAACCTCAATAATTAAATAATTTTCAATGTTTAAGTTATCACATATAAAAGTTTATAACATAAATTATAATTAAAACACTTAAGAACGAGAACATCAAGACATAATGTTAACTATTTTTATAAATTCGAATCTACAACAAAGTCCCCATTTATTATAATTTGTTTAAGCGATGTCAACTATAATGAACCAAGTGACATGTCTCAATACAGAAAAAAGTGTAAAGAATTTAAGCTATTACTAGAAAACCTACGGAAAAACACCACTACAAGATAATAATCTTAAAATATTTACCAAAAGCTGGTTTAAATGTGAAAGGATGAAGATTCTTCTCTTCCCTGTATCCACTTAATGCCAAACATCCGCCGAAAAATAATAACTGAAAGACATAACTGAAGAAAATGCACGTGGCGGCATATAAACAGAATATTCTTACACCCGGGAATGGTGACGTCATGGCAATGCAATACGAGAAGAAATTCGTTAGAGACGTTATGGTGATGGACACTGCTGCGTTGCGATATGTCTGTTCCATTCGTTTTTCTACTCTGTCGTTGCAATCTGTTACCTTCCAACAAGCCAATACGACAAACGAGTCGTCCACTTCCGTAGCTTTAATATATCAAAACAATAAAAACATATAAAGAGAAATGTATTAGTATTTGCAAGTATAATATAGTTTAGCTTACCAAAAATCATGAAAGGAAGGGTGACGTTCCACCGAAGATTTTCTACTCCACAGGCGGATAATAATCCAAAAGCGGTGGTCACAGCCAGACCGGCAGATACGACAGTAGCTACGCCTAACCAGGGTTTGGATTTTACCCAATTGTTAGTCATGTTCGTCACCTTGGAGAAAATGGCCACAACGACCACAGCCACGCTTATCAAAGACACTAATTCCTGTGAAATGCGTTGTACTTGATAATCGGTAGACGCGAATGGATCGGGAAATGTTTTAATATGCTCGAAAGTATAATCTCTTAACTTGTTGTAAACTGCCTTTGTCCATTCTTCATTCCACTTGTTTTTACTTGCATTGGATTCTTCAGTCGGATACAGTAAACGAACGGCCTTTGCTTCAATTATGTATCCTTTGTCGTCTGTCGTCACTCCTCCTAAATTTATACAGAAGATTTTGTACGCGTATGTTAGAGGATCCATATTAACGGGATACTTCATTTTTAATATTTCATGAATAGCGTTTTCGGAGTCGTTCAGCAGATCAATGAGAGTATTTTCTGAACACTTGCCATCTACAATTTGGCACACTTCCGAGTAACCAAAAATCTTTCCATCTACAAAAGTTGTGGTATTTTTTACAATCTTATCAACAATTTGTATTTCGTCCAAAAATTTTTTGCGTAAAATGTCGTCTTCTCTGTCATTTACTATATAGATCATTGGAAAACGTGGGCGTTTGGTAAGTCGTAAAAAATCGAATCTACCCGAATCGGTATGGAATGTGTTATGTATAAACTGTTTGGCATCAAAATATTTACCACTGTCTGCAGTTAAGAGAAAATCGATGTCTTCATTGGTTCGAACCTTAATAAGTCCGAGTGATAATAAACTGGAAAGAATGACAGGAATAATGACAAAATAGAGGGGATATCGACTAATTATTACACCAAGTCGACCAATTATATTGGATACGCTGTTTGTCAGACACAAACATTTCGTTTTCTTTGAAGTTTCGAGTCTTCTTATCTAAAAAATTTAAATAGAATCTACTTTAGCATACGCATTTCAAACGTTTAGTTTAGATGAAATGATTTTTTACCTGTTTATTCATTGTTATGTTGAACTTAAAGAATTCTGAATTGTCCTTGCACTATTGAGTAAAAAGTGGTTCACGATGGAGAGCCCTATCAGGTTGAAAAAAGTACCATTCACCATTAAAAATAAATCATTAAATTGTTAAAATTTCCGAGCTAGTTTACCCTTTTATAAATTGCATTTGTTCTATATGACGTGATGTCATCTATTTGTGGAATGCTTCATTGGTTGACTGTGTTGAAACTTTTCAATTCAAGCAAATCTTTAAGTAGTTTCTGTTATTTTTTCAACAGAAACTTCTTGTCATCAATCCCCAACTTATATTTCTGATTTGGTGAAAAATATTATACCAGTTGTCAAATATAACATTTACACATAATTTTCAGATATTTGAACAGGCTATGAAGCTATTTTCAGCAAATATACATTAGTTAAGGTTAGATTAAAATAGGTTAAACTAGGTTAGGTTATATGATGTTATGTAATGTTAAGTTATATTATGTTATATTAACCCGTCGAGAATGAGGTGAGAAATTGTTAAACCAGCTATGAGGTGAGTAAAAGATACCCGAAACTTTGATGCAGATTATTTTTTACTATAATTGTGTATTAAGTATTTTTTTACTTGGGATAATAATAATAGTATCTATTCAACAAGTGAGTAAATAAAATATCATGTTTAAGATTAAAAACCATTTTTTTTTAAATTGAAATAACAGTGTCTATATTTTTTTTGAAAACCACAAGTTTTGGTAGTTTAACATTTGGTAGTTATAAAATTCTAACAAAATTACAACTTCTTTGGTTAATCAACATAAGTATAGTATCTTTTAATTATAAAAATAGAAAAAATACTTAAANTTTTATTCTGATCGCCCAATTTACAATCAAAATATAGTTTATAACATTTATTAATTAACGAGCCCAATTAACCGTTTTCGTTAAGTTAAAAATGTTAATTTTTTACATATCAAGATAATTTACATATTTCCTTGCTATATTTTCTTCGGAAGGTAACAAAATACATACAGCTAAAAATCACAACACAAAAGTTCATCTTCACTTAATGCAAATCCCACAAATTTTGTAGAGTATTGCCTGTGGGTGACGTGTCATGTTGTGTGATTTTTATTCTGCTATCTGGGTAACAAGTTGGTAAAACAAACTTGTTAAACGAATTCCATCTTTGTCCCTTGTCCGCTGCAAGCGGTGCAAAAAAGTTTTTGTGGATGGCCAGACATGGAGCCAAAATTTATATCTATGATTACGGAAAATCAGAAGATGATAGAAAAATTTTGATCCCATGGTTGTAAATACAAAAAGTCCTATTAGATACAATTTCCTTTTCTCCGTGTGCCAAAAATTATGTTAAACAGTGTAATTTATAAGGCGGCACGTTAACCTAATGTAACCAAACATATTAATTTTATGTTCATTTGTTTTTTGAAACCGTGTCCTGTTTTATATTTGTGGCGTAGTAAACACTAGTATTGTGTTTTATTTCAAAGACACATGGCAAATTTTCCATCAAATTCCTTTATTAGTTGAGTCGAAATCAATAAAGGAACTCAACTAATAAAGGAATTTGATGAAAAATTTGCCATGTGTCTTTGGAATAAAACACAATACTAGTGTTTACTACGCCACAAATTCTAATATTGCTTTATTTTTTATTTTAATTTAATAAAAAAATTTTCAAAACTTTAATTATTTCCCGTTCGTAAAGTCTTTTTTCGATAAAGGAAGTTACTTCGGTTGTAGAAATTTGAAAAAAAAAATGATATGGAGATATTTATCATTGTGCATTGTTTTCCCGATTGAATCAAGAGAATTCTGTCAATAATAACGGCCACTATCAGTCTATGAAAAGTTATAATAACAAAAGTAATCTTGAAAATTTACTACTTTGCTTAAACAATTTTTTTAAAATTAAAACGATACAACTCCCCGGTTGTGCAACCGGACTTTATTAAACCCTCTGATGTAGAACCGAAATAAGGAGAAGGAATTAATAAACAAAAAAAGTTGCAGCGCGGTTGTCTTAGTTCTATCGGTATTCTCAGTCAGAGTCGAAATGATGCTAGACTATCCCTATGTTTTTTTATTCCAGAACTGATCTCAATTTTTTAGCTAAAGAGAAGTGAGTGACAAATCAGGGAGCGGGAAACGGGAATGCAAACAATTGATACAATATATAGGAACAAAAATTATATAAGAACTTAGAACTACAAAGACTTGCAGCGGGTATTTTCATTTTAGTCACCTCCTTACTCCGAGTGTCGTCATCAATAGAAATGAGTTCGACGAAGATTCCGTGTGTGCTAGGAAAGTTCTATCAGCCACCAACTCGTCGCTGTCCCGAGTTCTCCCGACAGACGAAACTTGCATAGAAAATCAGTACATCCGATCGTTTGGGACATTTGATAAATCTTTTTGTCATCCGGCAAGTAATCCTTTTATCCGTGTAAGAACGTTTGTATTAATGAATGGTCATCTCTAATAAGGAGTTAACTATTTTCCTTCTTCATGTCGACATACAAATACTACATCAACGTCAAAGCGAAAATAATTGCTTCATTACGTACGCAATAGAGGTTTATCGTCAGTTATGGCACAGAAACAAGTATCTTACAATTTCACATTAATTACAGTTACGAGAAGCTATTATATTACTACTTGATAAATATATATTTTTTCACGTCATATACTAATTTAAATATATAGAATTTTATATATTAATTATTACTTACCGAATAATTTTACTACCGGTATTACAAAGAATTAAAACAATAGCATTCTACATACGTGTGTGACTTTCTCAAGTGGAACTTATACTGTGTTCAGCAAGAATAGAATTACTCGTAGATGACGTGGTTTCGTGATAACCTTCGACGCAATGATTTTTATGGCATTAAATTTTAAAAGTTTTTTCCTCGAACTCTTATTAAATGCCATTTTAATAACACTTTTATATTCTTAATTTCGTTCGTACGATAATCTATAATCAGTTTAAAATTAATCGCATAATTAATTTTTTAAAATTTAATGTTATTTGGCTAAGATTTTCAAATTTCAATGTTACATATTTCCACTATCGTTGTTTATTCGTTAATCTAGAGAATGGAGTTAAATCCATGAAAATTCAGACCACGTGCAGAAAGATGAGGAAGCTTTTGATACAAACTTCAAATTTGAAGCGTAAGTGAAGCTGTTTTAATTGAAAGAAGTTGGCTTCTTATGTACAGCGTAAATTTCGGTACAGAATTAATGCTTACGACAATCGTTCGTCAATACTTTAATACTAAAGCATATAAGGTGAATAATACTTAAATGATTTTACGTTAAACAATTTAAATAATGCATATCATAACTCATTTTGCAGATAAATTTATTAAATCGAAATATTAATAAAATCGCAGCCCGGAATTATGACGACGTCACAATAAATGTCCGATTCCTGTATAGAATAATCGTACGGAAATAGTGTCGAAAGGTTTATAAATTTATCGCATAATTACGTTGCATTTGTCATGGTCACAAATAAACAAATTCTGTAGTTGACACTTTCTTGCAACAATAAGTTTTTTTACTCGTGTACTGAACTCTATAAAATGTGTTTGAAGACTTTAAAATTAACTTTATAAATATTTTTCGAACGTTTCGTATTTTTAAGTCTTTTATTTAAATATTGAAGAAGTATTATTTTCCTGTATAAAAAGTTACTTTTCCACTACATCTAGAATTATTTCCCTCTGTTTGAAATGTAACATTGGATTGATCGCACGACGTGCTGCAAACCTGTTTTCAAGTGAATAAATTTTATTGAAATTATTATTCATTAATAACGATTCAAGATAATTATACCTGTGAAGGACAAAACTCCACCTTCTATAGTTAAAACCGAATTTTCTACTGCTTTTTCTATCCCCGTTGTAATATAAAACAGTGGTAAAAAATGGTAATCAGGCAAACAGAAATCTACGGAAATATTACTTTTTTCTTAACTCAGAGAACCATCGAACGTCGAGAAATGCAAAAAACTTGGCAGGTTTTTTTGTGTATGTATATATATATATATGAGTGTAAGGAGAGTGTAAGGGTAGGAACTAGTTTGCTTATCCACTTTGACGCTTAATAACTACTGTGCTTATAACTTATCTACTTAATAACTTCGAAAATTTTGTAAATTTTGAAAAGTGGTACGTTTGTACGAGAGGATTGACGTATAGATGGTTTAGTGTCAATAAATGAGGACAGAGAGAAAGCTTGGAATGTCGAGCATGATTCCACTGACTATTCAACCCGACGTACACGTTTTCGGGTTTAAAACTTCGGCCTCAACCTCGCTAATAAGCGCTGAGTCACAAACGGTTTGGAGTTGAAAGTTAAAATTTGATACACAGTTATGTCATGAGAACATACACCAAGAAGGAATTTTGGAGATTCCTACCCTGGGGGAGGGAGAGGGTTAAGGATTATCCTGAAGAACTCTGCTTCTACTGTACTATTATAGATGAGGTTTTTTGCGCTTTTGTAGAAAAGCAAGCATATCTTTAGACTAGTTATTATGCCTTTTTGTCCTTTTTTACACTATTTATAATTTATTTTGTATACTAGTACATTCTATATATTAACAGGACTTATTATACTGGAATTATGGATGCAGATATTTAGTCTTACAGTTTAAAAATAATGTTCTTAATTAAGTTCNGACTTGCTTACCTCCCTCGCCACTCGATAAAAAGCCATCCGAAATGACAACGTGGGCGGTCGTTGCGGAGTAAGTAGTCAGATGGCATCTTGGCCCACGGTATCTCACATATTCTGTGCACTATGTAACTTTTAAAAAATATAATTATAGTATTGAAATTAAATTAATGAATTTAAAATAATGAGTAAAATTTAACGCAAATGTTATATAAAACATTAAGCAGAAAAATTGTACGACTGTTCTACACTGGAACAAAAGCCTGTTCGACAATTGACGATTCAAAAACTGATAAACTACCGAATGTTGAAAACAAACGGTAATGATCAAATTGAATTTGATCTCATTCCTATTCTAATTACACATATTATTGACGTAACCTTATATTGCAAACACTTAATAATAATTTTATATCAACTTCTATAATATTTGCGTAAAATTTTTGGTAGGTTTACTCGGTGTAGAACGTCATTCTCCTGCTTAAACATTCACAGTATTGACTACAAACATGTTTTAGTTTATTTGTTGCTTCCGGTTCAAATTTTCGTCATATGAGGTGCAATGAAAAAAGATAACAATTAGCGCTTCAAGTAAATTTACGTGTTTCATACGGAAAATGTTTACACGACGTAAACACTGTTAAGATATTTGTTTAAAGCAACAAACGCAATACCGTTTCACAGCACATAGAATTCAGTTGGGATTAGTTTAGAAACTTCTTGAGATGTTTATTTGAATGCAAAAACGATTCGTCCTGTTGCCTTTATTCTTGGCACAAACGAACATATAAAAACGTAACAATAACATTAAATACATAACGCTTAAATACGTCTCTTTTTATATACAATATACTGTATACTGATAGGTAATATATATAAAAACTATATGGGAGTAAACGTGTTCTGCTTTCACACTTTGCTGTGCTTTTGGTATCTTTAATTACATCTTAAAAACGCGAGATTTATGATGAAAATTGTGAAAAATTGAAGCAAGGAGTTGCTTAAAATGTACGGCAACCTTTGATAATCGGAGTATCACGATCTGTTATGATTTATTGTTTAAAAAAGTTTTTTTATATTTTAAATTATCATAAAGTGTCAATAAGCGTAATCTTCAGGGGAAAGGCAAGGATTATAAAATAATTGTAATTTCTGATAACGAGGAAATTCGACTTTAAGCACGTCCTACTCGACACATGATAAGCAAGTTCCTCTATCTTCTCACCCCCTGGACCTTCAATCAACAAAATTTAATGGCAACATAGCCCTAATAATCGAACCTCAATAATTAAATAATTTTCAATGTTTAAGTTATCACATATAAAAGTTTATAACATAAATTATAATTAAAACACTTAAGAACGAGAACATCAAGACATAATGTTAACTATTTTTATAAATTCGAATCTACAACAAAGTCCCCATTTATTATAATTTGTTTAAGCGATGTCAACTATAATGAACCAAGTGACATGTCTCAATACAGAAAAAAGTGTAAAGAATTTAAGCTATTACTAGAAAACCTACGGAAAAACACCACTACAAGATAATAATCTTAAAATATTTACCAAAAGCTGGTTTAAATGTAAAAGGATGAAGATTCTTCTCTTCCCTGTATCCACTTAATGCCAAACATCCGCCGAAAAATAATAACTGAAAGACATAACTGAAGAAAATGCACGTGGCGGCATATAAACAGAATATTCTTACACCCGGGAATGGTGACGTCATGGCAATGCAATACGAGAAGAAATTCGTTAGAGACGTTATGGTGATGGACACTGCTGCGTTGCGATATGTCTGTTCCATTCGTTTTTCTACTCTGTCGTTGCAATCTGTTACCTTCCAACAAGCCAATACGACAAACGAGTCGTCCACTTCCGTAGCTTTAATATATCAAAACAATAAAAAGATATAAAGAGAAATGTATTAGTATTTGCAAGTATAATATAGTTTAGCTTACCAAAAATCATGAAAGGAAGGGTGACGTTCCACCGAAGATTTTCTACTCCACAGGCGGATAATAATCCAAAAGCGGTGGTCACAGCCAGACCGGCAGATACGACAGTAGCTACGCCTAACCAGGGTTTGGATTTTACCCAATTGTTAGTCATGTTCGTCACCTTGGAGAAAATGGCCACAACGACCACAGCCACGCTTATCAAAGACACTAATTCCTGTGAAATGCGTTGTACTTGATAATCGGTAGACGCGAATGGATCGGGAAATGTTTTAATATGCTCGAAAGTATAATCTCTTAACTTGTTGTAAACTGCCTTTGTCCATTCTTCATTCCACTTGTTTTTACTTGCATTGGATTCTTCAGTCGGATACAGTAAACGAACGGCCTTTGCTTCAATTATGTATCCTTTGTCGTCTGTCGTCACTCCTCCTAAATTTATACAGAAGATTTTGTACGCGTATGTTAGAGGATCCATATTAACGGGATACTTCATTTTTAATATTTCATGAATAGCGTTTTCGGAGTCGTTCAGCAGATCAATGAGAGTATTTTCTGAACACTTGCCATCTACAATTTGGCACACTTCCGAGTAACCAAAAATCTTTCCATCTACAAAAGTTGTGGTATTTTTTACAATCTTATCAACAATTTGTATTTCGTCCAAAAATTTTTTGCGTAAAATGTCGTCTTCTCTGTCATTTACTATATAGATCATTGGAAAACGTGGGCGTTTGGTAAGTCGTAAAAAATCGAATCTACCCGAATCGGTATGGAATGTGTTATGTATAAACTGTTTGGCATCAAAATATTTACCACTGTCTGCAGTTAAGAGAAAATCGATGTCTTCATTGGTTCGAACCTTAATAAGTCCGAGTGATAATAAACTGGAAAGAATGACAGGAATAATGACAAAATAGAGGGGATATCGACTAATTATTACACCAAGTCGACCAATTATATTGGATACGCTGTTTGTCAGACACAAACATTTCGTTTTCTTTGAAGTTTCGAGTCTTCTTATCTAAAAAATTTAAATAGAATCTACTTTAGCATACGCATTTCAAACGTTTAGTTTAGATGAAATGATTTTTTACCTGTTTATTCATTGTTATGTTGAACTTAAAGAATTCTGAATTGTCCTTGCACTATTGAGTAAAAAGTGGTTCACGATGGAGAGCCCTATCAGGTTGAAAAAAGTACCATTCACCATTAAAAATAAATCATTAAATTGTTAAAATTTCCGAGCTAGTTTTCCCTTTTATAAATTGCATTTGTTCTATATGACGTGATGTCATCTATTTGTGGAATGCTTCATTGGTTGACTGTGTTGAAACTTTTCAATTCAAGCAAATCTTTAAGTAGTTTCTGTTATTTTTTCAACAGAAACTTCTTGTCATCAATCCCCAACTTATATTTCTGATTTGGTGAAAAATATTATACCAGTTGTCAAATATAACATTTACACATAATTTTCAGATATTTGAACAGGCTATGAAGCTATTTTCAGCAAATATACATTAGTTAAGGTTAGATTAAAATAGGTTAAACTAGGTTAGGTTATATGATGTTATGTAATGTTAAGTTATATTATGTTATATTAACCCGTCGAGAATGAGGTGAGAAATTGTTAAACCAGCTATGAGGTGAGTAAAAGATACCCGAAACTTTGATGCAGATTATTTTTTACTATAATTGTGTATTAAGTATTTTTTTACTTGGGATAATAATAATAGTATCTATTCAACNCTTGTGAAAGACAAAACTGCACCTTTTATAGTTAAAACCGAATTTTCTATTGCTTTTTTCTATTTCCGTTGTAATATAAAACAGAGGTAAAAAATGGTAATCAGGCAAACAGAAATCTACGGAAATATTACCTTTCTTTTAAATCAGAGAACCATCGAACGTCGACAAATGCAAAAAACTTGGCAGGTTTTTCTGTATATATATATATTTAAGTGTAAGGGGAGGAACGAGTTTACTTATCCACTTTGACGCTTAATAACTCCTGTGCTTATAACTTTTCTACTTAATAACTTCGAAAATTTTGTAAATTTTGAAAAGTGGTACGTTTTTACGAGAGGATTGACGTAGAGATGGTTTAGTGTCAATGAATGAGGATAGAGAGAAAGTTTAGAATGTCGAGCATGATTCCACTGACTATTCAAATACCATTGTCAAACTTCTAGGCTTACAGGAAAGCAGCGCTGAACGTCCGACGTACACGTTTCCGAGTTTAAAACTTCGGCATCAACCTCGCTAATAAGCGCAGAATCACAAACGGTTTGGAGTTGAAAGTTGAAATTTGATACACAGTTATGTCATGAGAACATACATCAAGAAGGGATTTTGGAGATTCCTACCCTGGGGCGAGAGAGAGGGTTAAGGATTATCCTGAAGAACTCTTCTTCTACTGTACTATTATAGATGTGGTTTATGCGGTTTTGTAGAAAATCAAGCACATCTTTAGACTATCTGAAAATTCTCTGATTATTCTCGAAGGAGGGTGGACCTAATTCTTGCACCCGGCGGACACGGGTAAGAATGGATATAATCTAATAATCTTAATCTTCGCTATGGTTAGTTTTTGCCCGAGCAACGCCGAACTCATCTGCTTGTTTTATGATAATTACAAATATAAAAACTTTCAAAATAAAATATCGTAACAGATGGCGCCACAATCTATATAAGTTTTGCCGGGAAACTTATGCAACTCTCTTCTAGAAATTAATCTAGAACAGAGTTGCATTAAACTGTAATGAAATTTTTATTTAAACTTATTTTTAGAGCTATAATTACATTTGAGTCATAATACGTAATTATCGAGAAATGAATCACGTAATTAGTTGTAAAAAAGCTTTGTGTTAAATTTACTAAATCATTTTAATAAAGCAATTTTAAAAGTTCTTAACCGCTATAATTCTTAGAACTTTGAATAAATCGTAGAATTCGAATATTAATCAAGTATTATACGAAAATTGATGTATTAAATTATACTTGTGCATTTCAGAATTTATTATGGTTTATATAAAGCAGAGATTCATATTAATATCATTGGTAACAATGCAGAACTAATAATGCCTACTTATAATAAAAACACTATATTTAAAAATTTTACAATAAGTTTAGGTTTTTAATGGAAGTTTCTGCATATTTTTACCGAAATTATCATATTTAAAATATCATTTTGAAATTCACGGAAAACTTATACATATCCATTGTCTTGGATTTTAACAATAATAATAAAATTGTTTCGCGGAATTCACCACGTTTCTCTGCAACCTTCAGATTAATAATGGTCTATTGTGTAAGGAATAAAATCTATACGCATAGAGAATTTTATAATTTTCAGATAATTGCCGATAATATGAAGAACTTTTCCGTGAATTGTAAATAATATTCTGCGACTTTTCCGTTAATTTGGTCAGAAAAATACATCCACAGAAACATGAAAGTTCCATTCAAAAACTTAATTATTATTATATTATTAAATGTATTATTATTATGATTAATATAGAAATAAATGATTATGTTCGACTTAGCTGTAATTTTATAAGAGGTCGGGTGAAATTCAGTTGGAAGAAGTGATAATTNAAATTAAAACGATACAACTCCCCGGTTGTGCAACCGGACTTTATTAAACCCTCTGATGTAGAACCGAAATAAGGAGAAGGAATTAATAAACAAAAAAAGTTGCAGCGCGGTTGTCTTAGTTCTATCGGTATTCTCAGTCAGAGTCGAAATGATGCTAGACTATCCCTATGTTTTTTTATTCCAGAACTGATCTCAATTTTTTAGCTAAAGAGAAGTGAGTGACAAATCAGGGAGCGGGAAACGGGAATGCAAACAATTGATACAATATATAGGAACAAAAATTATATAAGAACTTAGAACTACAAAGACTTGCAGCGGGTATTTTCATTTTAGTCACCTCCTTACTCCGAGTGTCGTCATCAATAGAAATGAGTTCGACGAAGATTCCGTGTGTGCTAGGAAAGTTCTATCAGCCACCAACTCGTCGCTGTCCCGAGTTCTCCCGACAGACGAAACTTGCATAGAAAATCAGTACATCCGATCGTTTGGGACATTTGATAAATCTTTTTGTCATCCGGCAAGTACTCCTTTTATCCGTGTAAGAACGTTTGTATTAATGAATGGTCATCTCTAATAAGGAGTTAACTATTTTCCTTCTTCAAGTCGACATACAAATACTACATCAACGTCAAAGCGAAAATAATTGCTTCATTACGTACGCAATAGAGGTTTATCGTCAGTTATGGCACAGAAACAAGTATCTTACAATTTCACATTAATTACAGTTACGAGAAGCTATTATATTACTACTTGATAAATATATATTTTTTGAAAACCACAAGTTTTGGTAGTTTAACATTTTTTAGTTATAAAATTCTAACAAAATTACAACTTCTTTGGTTAATCAACATAAGTATAGTATCTTTTAATTATAAAAATAGAAAAAATACTTAAAGGTCTTATGAGATCAATTTTCACAGCATCAACATTACACCTACAAATCAGCACATCTCCACACATAAAAATCGCATGCTTCATACATATTGGCTTCTCACACTTCGAACAGCAATGTTTTGTTTTCCTATCTGTTTTTTAGTACACTCACCACACCTGACATATTTACCACTCACTTTTTTGGAAACAGATAATGACGGTTCTCTCAGATGATCAGTAATCACTTTTCGAGTTTCCTTTGAATAATGCATGTTTTGTTGTCTAATGCGAAGACTATCATTTCAGAAATCTAGAAATAAATCTAATAATATTATAAATAACTATAACTCATAAACTTACAGTCAACTAAAAAATGTAACACCGACTATGAGGTCGGTTGTGACGTATCCCAGCCACCTTTGCTCATGTATATCCCCCGCTGACATCGGCAAAACACTAAACTCAACACTGCGCCTCGCCCCCAATCCCTTACCTCCAGCTACTGTAAAAACGGGATTTGCACGGCAACAATAACATTAAATAATCTGCGTTTAAAATCTTCTCGGATATGACATACCCGACCTCACTCACGCCGGATTAAGTTAAGTTAAACAAAAACTAAATACATTATTGTGAATCTTGAAAAAAACGTAGTTACTACCGTGGGGCATCTACACTGAGAAATGTCATTCTTCTCTTTCTGGAATTGCTGAAATATTGTAGCAATTTGTGAGCATGCTGTGTACATAAAATCATGAAACTAGTGAAGGGAAAACGGATTTTAGTTACGAAATCTAGGAATGTTGAAAGTTTTAAAAAATTTGACGTGCCGAAAATATCCCAGTTCACTATTGTAGGGTTTAAATTGAAAAATATTACTATTTAATTAAAATACTACGATATAAAATTTATTTCGAAGTAAACCGCCTCAAATATATCGCTTTTTAAGCAATTATGCATAGAAAGTAACCTGTGAAGTACGTCTATAATTATTTTTTTTATTGTCCTAATATCAGAGGTTTCACTTTACACTGTTGATAATTCCGAGTTATATGAATTCTACGTTGTACGAGTCATTCAGATTTTACAAATACGTGTGCCGGGTCGTCAACGGCTCACGTATTTTTAAAATGTAAGTGACTCGTACGACATGGAATTCATATAACTCGGAATTATCAACAGTGTTATAGGGGGGTGTACTGTATTTATAGTGTGTAACATGAAACAGTTGAAGGCTTTAATTCTTTTAAAAAGTGGTTACTGTTTTTTTAATAAGTCGTTTACTTTCGAATCGTTGTTTAATTCTCTTTCATTCATGAGAACAAATGGATTTTATTTACACGTGGACCATTTGTTTATAAATCACAGTTGTATATATTAAAAACAAATATTTTTATTTTTGGTATAGTTTCTAATATTGCTGATTTTCTTTTTGAAACCGTGTCCTGTTTTATATTTGTGGCGTATGAAACACTAGTATTGTGTTTTATTTCAAAGACACATGGCAAATTTTCCATCAAATTCCTTTATTAGTTGAGTCGAAATCAATAAAGGAACTCAACTAATAAAGGAATTTGATGAAAAATTTGCCATGTGTCTTTGGAATAAAACACAATACTAGTGTTTACTACGC